AACGGGCTTCCCCATACTTCTGTCCGGTACTTGCAAATTGAAGGGGAAACCTTAATTGCCCCAAGAAACATGAAAACATTGTAACTAGTTCAGGTGAGCCCTTTGCCTTCTCTTCTAAGCTGTGACATTGTATTGCTTGTTACTTCTTTCTTCCATTGCAGCGGCATTAATTCAAATATATGGGCCCTGGGGCTGTTATAATTTAATGCCAGATGAGCTATTACCATGTAAAACCCCTTGAAGGCATTCACCATTTGTGCGGCAGTGCCCAGTATGTGTCTGATATAATGTGGACCTATTTTATTTTGCTCTTATGTCGGAATGTGGTAGGAAGCTTAGTTGTCTCTTTACATTATAAACAGTAATATTCATTAAAATTTTTTTATCATGACCCGAAGTTTTATTTGTTCTTCACACAAATAGGAAAGTAGTATTTGTTATATAAACTTGAAGAAAGCTTGTTTAGGAAACAAAATTTTAGGTTGGGTATATTGTTATTTACATTGTTACATTTCTCTTTTTATTTTCTTCCCACAATAACTGAATGATATAAAGCACACGAGATAAGTTCCTATGGGTTTTTGTCTAAAGATACTGACGGTCGTACCTATCTTATTCTGCTGAAATAACCAGTGTTGAAAACTCTTAAGTATAACCCTGGAAACTAAAATAATTGGGAAAATGTGAACTGTAAAACAGGGTGTGACATTTTAGACTGCGAGTTTGTGCGTGTTATCTAAACTATGATACTAAATAATAACTGTGTTAAATTTTAAGTTCAGTTCAGTCTCTTCCCTACACACTAGATCCACATTTCCAACCGTGTCCATGCAGGGAAGGCCGATGCCTGCCTCCTCGGTGAACCCGTATGTGCAGGGAGGGGACCCTGCAAAGTATCTGTTTACCTAGAAGAGTGTGATTGACGGGCTTGGTTTCTAAGTGAACACATAGTTGCCTGTCAGCTCGTTGGTGAGTGGCATTGTTGGTTGCCACCCTCGAATACCTGGACTTAAAAGTTGAACTATATGAAATTGCCGCTTTTATAGTAAAAAATTATCAACCATATATAGCCATTTAAGGATCCTAAGCCCAAAAGCATTGGAGTAAAAACATTCTGGAGTGGAAATACCTTAAGGATCAGTTCCTCTGCTTCCCACTGGATGCCGGAATTGCCTACAAACGGCGGTCTGGCCTCTTTGGGAGCTTGGTCAACAGTAGGGTAATTCTTGTTTTATCTAGCTGTTTAGCTCCTAATAGATTCTTACACAATTCTTGGAATTTAAGATTTTACTTAAAAATTAATTCATTATTTTGGGGGCATCCCACTGTTCTGGTTATCCTCATCTGGATATATTCCAGATTAAGTTTCCCTTTAAAAATATTATGTCAATGAATACAGTATTCCAGATATGATATGAACTAATCTACAGGAAGTGTTACTTCCGTAAGCTCAGTGTTTTTAAAATGATTCTCAAGAATATGTTTGTTTCTTCAGCAGCTGTGTGTCACACGTACTGCTACCCTGTTTTATTTTTCGGTTTTGTTTTGTTTTTTTCCACGTGAACAATTGTCAAGCCCTTTCAAACATACTCTGAATGGAGATGCCTACTGCCTTGAGTCTCAGACTGGGAGTCAGGAGAGACCTAGTTTCTAGGCTTAGATTTGTGTGTGATTTGTTCTGTGATCCCAGAAAACTCGTGCAGTCTGTAAATCCGTAACAGAGACAGTGGGGAGTTGTATGAAGTGACACAGAAAGTGCCCCAAACCCATTGAATGAAAAGCCAGGAATAACAGATTTGACTCACAACCTTCTAAATACAAGAAGATATGAAAATGCATGTCAGTAAGAACTTAGAACCCATTTCCAGCATTCATTACAATTTAAGCGACTGTAGAAATTAATATTACAGAGCCCCAAAGACTGACCTTTGGACTTCTTCCCTTCTCTGTTTATACTCTCTCCCCAAGTGACCTCATTCAGGCTCATAGTTTTAAATACCACATAGTTTTGACATTTGATTCTCACATTTTATTTCCATCTCAGATCTCTCCAGTACACACTAGATCTGTATATTCAGCGTTCTGCTCAGTCCTTTACTTAGGTGTTTTATAGGCATCTCAAACCTCCCATGTCTTAAAAGCCGAGCTCCTGAGTTCCAACCTTGCTCCTCTTCAGCCTGTTCACAACACTGTAGCAAGACTCATTCTTTTAAAATAAGTCAGGCCAGGTCATATCACGTAGCTGGAAACCTCCCATGGCTTTCCAATCCCTCTGAGTAAAAGCTAAAATTCTTAGAATGGCCTTTATGGTATAAAGGCCCTATACCATCCAGCCTCCCATTACATTTCTAATCACGTCTCTACTTTCCCCAGCCCCCTGCCTCCCCCAGGTGTTCATTTCACTGTAGTCATACTGGCCTCCTCACTGTTACTGCTGTTTTGAAACTCTCCTGCTTTCAGACTTTTGCACGTGCTGTTCCCTACATGTGGAATGCTCTGGGCTACCCTAGCCAGGCATCTGCCCCCAGCTCTCAGAAGAGGCCTGTCCTGGCTGCTCTTTTAACATTTTTCCCAACGCTCACCACCCCATTTTTCTCCATAGCACTTATTATCATATAACATATATTTTTACTAATTTATTGTTGTCTTTTCTTTCCTGTCTTGAACATTAGACCCATGAGAACAGAGATTTTTGCCTGTTTTGTACTGCTGTCTCCAGCACTTGGAACTTTATTTGACACATAAGAGGTGCTCTGTAAATAAATAATGGTGAAAGGTGTCTAGAGACTTTCTTCCTATACTTCATACACTTGTTGAGGTCTCCGACATATTCTGTGCATGTAAACAGGTAAAAAAGAAGGTATATGACATTACAAAATGTTTCCTTTTAGGAACTTCAGCCAGCCTTTCTCAACAGCCAGGTTTCCTCATCTGAATTACAGAAAAGGATTTGGGAGGCTGTTTTCTTAGTTCTTCAAAGGATGGGTCATACCAGTGCCCTTGGAGATGCGTAGGAGCAAAGTTAATTCACATATTCCGTGGATGCTTCAAGGCATTAGAGCTTAATGTTGGCAAATCTAGGTTGAAAAAGGCTGTATTAATGTCTAAAATGATTTTATAAAAAGTTTTTGAAAACAACCTCATAAAAAATGAACAGAAGACTTTTATTCAAAGTCAGATCATTCTTAATAATACATTTCTGAAAGAGCTGTCTTCGCCGTCAGTTAATTTATTTAAGGATAAGGAAGATTGAAGTCTCTGAGATCATAATTGGTTGAAGTATTTTCACATTTTTTCAAATAATAAAATTTTATTTGTATTTTGGTTGCTCACATAGCTTTTCACGTGTTCCTAGAGTGTTAATTCATCAGTGAAATCTGCCGCACTTTGACACACTGGCCCCTACTGTTTTTTTCATTGCCAAATGAACAGATTGGGCCCAAGAGGAGTTGCCTGACTTACAGCAGTCTAATAGGACTAGTTCAGCCGGGAGTCTGACCGCTGCTTCTCCCAGCAGTAACTCACAGCAGCACAGCTGCTGGGAGGTAAGGCTTCATCAGGATTGAGCCATAGAACATACGTGCACGTGTTCTGTGGGGTAGGTTGTAGGTTAGTGATTCCTCAAGTCATGTTTTGATTTTGGAATTTCATGAAACAAGACAACATTTTGTGGTAACATTATGTTACTTTTCTACCTAGAAGTTTAACCTTTTTTGGTATTATCTCGTTTATTCATAAGATTTTTCGGGTGGTAGTAGAGGAAAGGGAGAGAGAGGCTCTGTTATACTCCTTAATTTACAGCTGAGTAAATTGAAAATTGGTCACTTAATGAATTAAAAGTGAAACAAGAGTTAAGGTCTCAGGCCTGTACTTCGGTGGTTATTGCCCGGGTTGTCCATCATTCATTTTTCATTAAGTTATGACTCTGGGCTTCATAGTGTGCCAATAAGACAAACACTTGTGTCCTGGCTGGTGTGGCTCAGTGGACTGAGTGCCAGCCTGTGAACCAAAAGGTTGCCAGTTCAATTCCAGTCTGGGCACAGTCATGCGCTGCGGACCGGGTCCCCAGCTGGGAGCATGCAACAGGCAACCAATAAATGTATCTCTTGCACATTTATGTTTCTCTCTTTCTGTTTCTCTGTCCCTTCAAATACAAATCTCTCCCTCTCTCTACAAATAAATAAAATCTAAAAAAAAAAACAACAATAACCCACACACTTTAGAAACTTTTCAAGCATATGTATACATATGTGTTTGGTTTCTCTACATTTTCCTAGGAAAAATGTTTAATGATATCTCAGCTGTTTTCATGAATATGCTACTTTAAATATAGTGGCAGAAGTGAGTATGGATTCAAAAATAAATGACAGAATAGTTCAGGAATAATCTTTTCACTGTGATTGCAGAAATAACACTCTCAGTCTGGGTCTGTCAGGCATTTTGCATTCACAAATTTTTACAATCTAGACAACTAATATTTTGGCTCTTACCTGATAGCAGATCTATATAAAGAGCTCTTTGAAAAAGAGCTCTTTATTTGAGCCAAGATTCATTTTGACTCAAATAAAAAACACATTGGTTGAACTAACCATAATAAGTTGACTACTGTTAAGAAAATAAAATAGTGTGGGTTTTTTTTCTATTTTAGAATTGGAAAGTGGTATAAATAGTTTTTTTTGACGTGGGAGAAAACACAAGCCAAAAATTGGAGAAATTTTTGTCATCGTTTGTTGGTTTGTTTTCCCCTGACGTATCAGACGCTGAAAGAGGTGTGGGAGAGGAGAGCCGTCCTGGATGGAGTCAGGCCTCCAGCCTCAGCCTTTTTAGTCACTGCCTGCCAGCCTCCTGCGGCTTTGCTAGATTAATAAATGACAGAGGTAGAGAAAAAGAAACTGCTAAATAATATTGTATGTATGTCATTCCTTTCCCATTCAAAATGCTAAAGCTGAATAAGAACCCTTAAAGATGGCATGCCTGATATTGAATTTAAAATGTATTCAGTGCTCACTTCAGCAGCACGCATGCTGAAACTGGAACCACACAGAGAAGGTTAGCCCAGCCCCTACCTGAGGATGGCCTGCAAATTCGTATCATTTATTGACTGCTTTACACCAAGCATTGCACTAAACACTTTACTTACATTGTCTTATTGAATCTTCTTAACAGCTTGACTTTGACAAGTCATGCCTGCCTTCTCCATCGTACCTGTTACAACCATAAGGAAAGAAAAACTCTAAATGATTAATTTTGTAATTGGTTATTTTATGTCTGACTCACTGACTAGACTGAAAACTCCCCAAAGGTGAATGAAGACAGACTACATCTGCCCTGCATCTCCCGCTCTCGGAACGTGTCTGGCCCATAGCAGATACACAATAAAAATTGTTAAATTTTGGTGTGAATTTGAATGTGTGGATGACTGAATGCATGAATGAATCAACAGCCCTATTAAATAGGTGATAAATAGGTTATCACCTCCATTTTATTCACCCAGAAACAGAAACTGAGATTTCAATCAAAGCCCGTTGGACTCCAGAACGCAAAACTACTGTATTTAAATGGCCATTGGGGAACACAAAAATCACCATGTCTATGGGAAAGGGTTTGAAATTTTTGGGTGTTCTGAATGTAAGCACTTTCTTCAAAAGCAGTTATCCTAAAAATTTGGATCAGGGTATGGGGAAGCCGTTGTTTTTTCTCTCAGGTGGTAGGAGCATGGTTTCCTCAGCCTCTTGCTCCTCAGCTGTTTCTGAGTGTTGATAACAGTGAAACACAGGACTGTCCAGGAAGCTGTTTCTGGGTTCTGTTGCTAAAGGTACTTTGAGCTCTCACCCTAGGAGGGAGAACCACAGACTTTTTGTACAGATTAGTTCCTTTCAAGAGCTAATCTTTAGGGATTTATTAATTCCCTCACCTCCCCGGGTAACCCAAGTTCGTTCTTGTTGCCTAGTGTTCGGACTTTGCCCTGTGGCTGTTTTCCAGCTTCTTAGAGAGACACCGAGGCCTCTGCTGGCAGCGTTTTGTAGTGCCGTGTCTGATAAACCGGGCAAGGTCAGACTTGCCCTTTACAGCCCTCCCGGAGATAGACCCTTGGCTAAGAAACCCCAGAAATGTCTTAATTTTCTGGATATAAGTAGATCAGCATATTAGAGACCTTAGGAGCTCTGAGATGTTAGTAGCTGTCTCTCCTTGAAAGTGATGGAAGTACTTGTCTCCCTGGGAAATACATAATGCTTTGTAGATAGCACTTTGTTTCCTAAGCTTCCTCTCCCAAAACCTTACCAACTATGTAGGAAGAAACTATCCACAGAAACTTAAATATAAATCAAGGAGGAAATTGGTTCAAATCATCCAGCAAATGATCAGCAACTACAGAATTAAATGCAGACTAGACAAACCTCAGCTAAGCGTGGGAATAGCAGCCCCGGCTGCTGCCTCCTAGTCACAATCAGAAGTCTTCCACCTTTCACCTCCTAGTATATACACTGCTAAAAGGATTTGTCATCAGCATTTTATTATACCAAACAAGGACTTACCACTTCTTTTGAGAGTCTAAACTGCCCAATGCGGGACCAGGAGGCCAGAAAGAAGGGAGAGCACACTGCGTCCTTCATTGTCAGAGTCTAATTGGTCTGCAGGCACAGTTCAGCCTCATCAGAGCCAGTCTTAAAGAAGAAAGCTCTGTTATGTCCTACAAACACTTTCTGTGTGGTTCTTAATTACTTTCCCATGGGTTCCTTGTTTTCTAGATCTTATCTATTCAGCTATTGTACTAAAACACAGATTACATCAGGCATTTGAGCAGCAGACAGAGAAGGGTAGCTAGGGTCCCAGAAACCCCTGGGTTCATAACTGTGATCTTGCATTTAGAACTTTTAACTGTTGCTACCGTGGCATAATCCCTCTCTTTTTGCATATTCAAGGACCTCTGAAAATAAAGCCAGCCCTAGATTCCAAGTTAATGCTTTCCAGGAGGAGTGTCTTAGACAACCACTATCAGCTTCCTCTTTCTGACCTCTGGGTAGCACTTTCCACAGGGGACACTGGGACAGCTCCACAGTGCCATGTACCATATTTTGCCATGTATAATGCACACCCACGTTTTTGGCCCAAACTTTCAGGGGGCAAAAATCTTTTGTTTTACTTTTTTAATTCAATTTTTAATTTATTCTTATTTAGATGCTTGTTCTTTATATTATAAAGGAATTTTGGCATTTATTTTTGAACATACTGTGGTACAAGACATTTTATGTAACCAGTAATTACAAAACACAAGAAAAGATACAAGGTATTCCAGGTACTACCCATGTATATTTTGCACATCCTTATTTTTCCCTCAAAAATGTGGGCAAAAAGGTGCGCATTCTACACGGCAGAAATGTGGGGTTGCTTACCAGATGTGGGAATGTGTATGGTGCCGCATGGTCAGAATAATCCTCAGGTCACGCCATGGCTCGGAGTTTTCAAGAAGGCCGTTCTTCCTCCTGAGGGTTTTTTATTCTGTCATTCCAGCGGCTTCATACACAGATAGCTCCGATGATGAGACATCTCCCAGGGACAAGCAGCAGAAGAACTCTAAGGGAAGCAGTGACTTCTGTGTCAAGAACATCAAACAGGCAGAGTTTGGACGAAGAGAAATTGAAATTGCTGAACAAGGTAGAGGAAGCAAGCCCCTTTCCTCTCGAACTGCCTGTGTCCTTTTGTCCATGACAATAGCTTCTCATGTCCTGGGACCTAGTAGCTTGTGAAATTTCAGTGGGGTACGGCAGGCTATCTATAAAAAAATCATCTGAGCTCAAGAAATGCTATGGGGAGGGCGTGGATTCTGGCAGGTCTGGAAGGAACCCCCTGTACCAGGAAAAGGGGAGAGGAGGAGACTTAGATAAAAGAGGACTGGGGTCTAGGGAATGAGAACACTGGAGCGTGTGCCTCCGGAAGCCCCTTATAAAAGAAAGCTCAGGTGTATTGTCTTAATCCCTTGAGAAACCTAATCTAGCAGGGGACCTCATCAGGGGAAGGATCTTACCTTAAGAGAGTAAGTTTCTCCCTTTATTCTTTCTTTCTCATTCCCTCCTCTCTAATATGCTGTGTATGTGTTGCGCCTTTTCAGAAATGCCGGCACTGATGGCTTTGAGGAAGAGAGCTCAAGGAGAAAAACCTCTGGCTGGAGCCAAAATTGTGGGCTGCACCCACATCACTGCTCAGACTGCTGTAAGTCTTTTTCCTTTCTCCGCAGCATAATAGTTAAGAATAGCCCCAGCTACTGAGTGCTTGCAGCTTGCCACGTGCTAGGTTAAAAGCTCGACAAGTATTAGTTCATTAATCCTCATGATGGTCTCGTGAAGCAGGTAGCCCTAGTTCCAATTTATAAAGGAGGGAGTTGAGGCTCAGAGAGTTTAAGTAATTTATCCAAGGTAGTACAGCTAGTAAATGACAGAATCAAGGTTTAAACTTCAGTATAGCTGACTTCCACACTTCTGCTTTCTCCACAATCCTACACTGCTTCCCCTTATCTTCACTTCCGGCATCATTTCTACAAGGTAGGTCTGTGTTAGGCTGCTTTAAGCTGCAAATAAGAGGAAACCTGAAGGCCAGCGGTCAGGCAGACTTCAGATGCAGGGGCGGTGAAACATCCTCGGACTGTTGTTAGCAAGACAGTTACAGCTCTTCAGGCCGTCACAAACGGACCTGAAGAGGGAGAAGCACCATTTCTTTCTCTCTCCCAAGAACAAGGAAACCTTGCCCAGAAGTCCTCCAGGGTATTCCATCCTGTGTCACGGAGCAGAGCTGGGCCACATGCCCCTGCCCCACCAGTTCTAGGACTGGGTTTACCGTGATTGGTTTAGAGTTTAGACCAGGGATTCTCACCCCCGTCAGAGTCAGTGTCCCCTTGTTATAAAAAAATATTTTGCATGCCCTTGTATTATCTTGAAATGAAATTCAGACATAATATATCTATAGATATATAGATATCTATATACCTAGACCGCTACATATAATTTTTTTAAATTAACAAAATTTTAACTGAAATACAAAGGAAGAATAAAAGGTAAATAAATCATAATAAAATGTATATTTCAATATATAAATGTTTGGGTACAGGTAAAGTAGAATAGTCAGATATTTGTACTTACAGTACTGTTTGGATCAAAATGCTATAAATGTAGATAGACAAATCTGTTACTGGCTCTAGAGTATCACAATAGTATTGCCAAATTATATGATTTTTTGAAATTATTACCAACTTTTTGTAGATTTTTTTAATTTTAAAATATTTATTTATCTTTAGAGAGGAAGGGAAGGAGAGAAGGAGAGAAATATCAATGTATGGTTGCCTCTTGTGAGTCCCCTGCTGGGAATTGGCCTGCAACCCAGGCATATGCCCTGACTGGGAATCGAACCACGATTGTGTGGTTCGCAGGCCCGCACTCAGTCCACTGAGCTACACCAGCCTGGGCTGTAGATTTCTGATTCAGTAAAAAAACACGAGTTTTCTCTTCATTTACACACAGTTGTTGCATTCTTAGAAAAACTACAAAACACTTTTTGTAAATGGGTAAAGTGGAATAAGGTTCTAAACACAGATAATTATAGATAGGTTTCTCGCTGATATGAACTTTTCATTGGAACATTGGCAGATTTTCTCAGATGTGGCGTAGTTCCTAGTTGTAAAAGACTGTCCTGTACCTTCAAGGCAGCCCTCCCACTGAATGCCAGTAGCGCTCCCTCTCAATTATCGTGACAACCAGAAGCGCCCCCATGGCTTCCCAGAGTTCCTCTGTTGAGAACCACTGACTTCGAGTCACCATCCAAGATGTGATGGATACTGAGTTGCCAACAATAATGAGAACACCACGGGAAATTGGAGTATCGAGAAACGGTCTGGAATCTTTTATAGGATTTGTAAGACCCAGGTCATTTTTATGACTAGATGAGCTTTCAGAAGATTGTCTCCTGAAGCACAACACTTACGAGGCCATGTTCCTCATTAAAAAGAGCAGAGATTCCTCAAGACACAGACAGCTGCTCTTAGCATCTTCTCTATGAGACTTTTCTGGGTTACTTGTTCTCTGAGAAAAAGAATACTTTGGCAGCCCAAAATTAATA